TTCAAATTCATTATAAAAGACAGATCCAGGGAAGAATATGTTCCCGTAGCTGGATGAAGACAAGTGGCTGAATCATCAATGAAAATACATAAATCATTATCGGCAATGATTTCCTCAATAATTTTACCTTTAGTATTAGTATGGACACTACCCCAAAGCGGGTTGTGTCCGTTCAGATCGCCCATGATAAGACATGGCTTTGGGAGCTGATCATACAGACTTTGCAGAACTAACAGTCGGATATCTGAAGATGGAGGGACATATAAACTGCACAACGTCAACGCAATGTGTATAGTTAGACGAACAGCTACAGTTTGGAGATTGGTATTAAGAGGGACAGGGCTATGTATGATGCCCTGCCGTACCAAAATAGAAGCACCTCCAGTTGCTTTATCTCCTGGCGGAGAAAAGGAGTGATAATCACTGTATTGTCGTAAATTGAATGAGTCTGTATTTTTTATATATGTCTCCTGAACACATAATGCTGGAGGCTTAAAATCCTGTATTAACAATTGTATCTCATTGAAGTTATTCTTCTGCCCTCTGCAATTCCATTTAATTATATTGGCCAACTGAGTCATGGTGGCTCAATTGGCGATCTCTCTCGTGAATGTGAGGGGGAGCTGTTCCTCCTCCTGTCCTGCACGGACAAAGTTACCTCCATATCCAGAGGCCCAAATGAGTTCTGTAAAGGAACCTCTGGTGATGAAGGGATGGTAATTGTGTCTGGTCTGTTTGATATTTTCTTTCCTTTCTTTTTTGTCAAATGATTTATTGCTGGTTGTTTGACAGACGTTCTTGATTGTGCCGTAGACTGGTTGTCTGTCTGCGATGCAGACGTTGACTGAGTAGCCTGAGAAGGTTTGAATGATTCTGAAACAACAGGCTTCTCTGACTTGACCCATGTTAAGTCAGTCTGACACGATATAGTTGATGTTGCCACAGATCGAGAGACTGCAGCAGCATAGGTGATAGTTGATGGAGGTGCTGTTTGAGTTTTGAATAGTTTTTTGGCCTCAAGGTAGGATATATTGTTTTGACACTTTAGCTTTATTATTTTAGCTTCCGTTTGCCACACTGGGCAAGACTTGGATGATGCAACATGCGTACCATCACAATTGCAGCATCTAATATCTTTTTGGCAGTCAGTGTCCTCGTGGCTGTCACCACAACGATGACAGATGACAGCGTTTCGACAAGAGTTTGAACCATGTCCGAATCTTTGACATTTATAACACCGGAGCGGAGAGGGGACATACACCTCCACTCCGATATTAAAATAGCCTGCTTTGATAGACTCTGGTAGAGATGAACGCGCAAACGACATTAAATATGTGTTTGTATTTATGGTTGCGCCATCTTTCTTGATGGCAAAACGCTTAACTGCGGTTACCGCCTGTTCCTTTAGCTCCGTAGCGATGTCTTCCTCAGACATGTCGGACAGGCAACGAGCCCTGTCACGAACAATGCCTCGACAAGAGTTTAGTGTCCTGTGCACAGACACAGCAACCTCAATACCTGCAAATCTTTTGATCGATAGCAAATTGAGAGATTGCTGTCTCCGTGCACACTCCACAAGAAGTGAACCACTACGGAGACGGGTAACGTTGTTATCTTCACCGCAAATACCAGATACAGCCTTTGAGCCTTTGCAAACGGGTTTAAATCTACAGCCACAATCACCAACAATCGTGGCCAGGAATCATTGTTTGAAGTATGTTTTCCATTTGAAAGATCTAAGTCCTCTAAACGTCTTTTCTTTTCGTTTCGAAGTGAACCAGCATGTGTAAGCTGCATAATGAAAGGAAATAATTCAACACCCCTGCTCCCCACCCGCCACGGAGTGTCAACAAGGACAATGTAAAATAGCAACGGGTATCCAAGATGCTGACACCAGGGATACAAGGGTGTTATACTCCAGGGAAAACAAACACAAATAGCTGCACTTGTCAACCAATTTCATGCCCGACTGGTTCGGCCCAAGACATGAAATTAGAGACATACATCATTTAGAGGTCATTATCACCAGTTTGGCCCATGAGTCACCGCCTTCTGGCATAGGACTCTAGGCAAATATATATCATATAATTTTAAATTACAACATTCAATATCAACATAATATATAAATATACATTAATAACAATTTGAATGTTTCCATGCGCAGGGCACGGCGTGACCAGCCGATTGATAGAACCGGGCCAGTTCTACCCCCCGTCTAGGTGAAGTCAGGGCCAAAGTGGTGTGTTGGGCCAGAGGAACAAGGTTTCAGGCTCCTATTGCCCTCAACCACCAGAATCCCTTCCTCCACCGACACAGGGGCGCAACTCACGGCAAACGGGTTGGTGGACCAAATATACCCCCGGGTCCACAACGGGGGGTTGAAGAGCTCTTAGCGTTACCCAGCACCCACCACGAGGAGGTGGCTCTACACGTGTGCCCTCTGACCAAGTGGCTTTAATAGCCCTCTGTGGTTTTATCAACCACTTTCTGGATAATCAAGTTTTGAAAATTTGTAAAGTGATGATTTTACTGTAATTTAGCAAAGATGTCATGTTTGAATCAGTTATATGCACTCAGTACGTAAACTCAAAAACAGCGTGTGTAGTTTCTGTTTTTTTAAGAATATATTTCTGTTTATTCCCGTATTTCTGTCAGGTGAACAATGGAGTTGTCCATAGTGGTTCATAAACACGTACCACGGAATCGTGCAATGGTCTCTGTAATTGAATGGCGAGTGCTACCAGTACATGCTTACCCTTTTCGACACCATTGCCGCTCTATTGTGTACTTCCATAGTTATACCTTTCGTACTGACTCGGCACCCATGAAGGGCCACCTCCTCGTGGTGGGTGCTGGGTAACGCTAAGCGCCTTTCAACCCCCCGTTGTGGACCCGGGGGTATATTTGGTCCACCAACCCGTTTGCCGTGGGTTGCGACACTGTGTCGGTGGAGGACGGGAGGCTGGTGGTTGAGGGCACTGGTTCCAGGAACAGTGTTCCTTTGCCCAACACACCACTTCGCCCCTTACTTCACCTAGACAGGTGGTAGAACTGGCCCGGTTCTATCAATCGGCTGGTCACGCCAAGCCCTGTGTATATATATATATATATATATATATATATATATATATATGTCATTGCACAAATTTGATTTGGAATTGTTTGAATTTCGGGCTTACTTGTTTATCTAAAACGTTTGTGGTTTTGAATTATTATGTTATGAACTTTGCCTAGAGTCTTATGCCCAGAAGGCGGTGGCTCATGGGCCAATCTGGTAGAATTATTACTCTTTTAATTCTTCTACTGGAGTATATCATCCGGGTTGATTGATGTGCCCATGCGCGAGGTGAAGCAGGTCGTGTTTGAATTGTCGGAAGAACAAAATGATGAAATAATGTGTTAAATTCATCAACATACCTACGAAGAACACAAAATCAACTATGGGGATCCCCCTGGACACTTGGCGAAGAAGAATTGGCCGATTTGTTCCACCAAGAGGAGTGAAACAGATAAGTAAAATCTTACCTTATGATCCCGATTCAACTTGGACGCCATTCACTGACCTTGCATACCGACTTGCACTAACCACGGCCATACTCACATATGTCTGTGTCGTTGGTTCAGCAATCGTATCTATAGCTTTATCTGGTGCTGATACAAGCTATCCGGTAAAAGATTCCTCAAATGCAGTGTTTACACATTTTTCCGTGTCCACGCCACTGACAACACGACACGACATTAAAAACCTGTTCTGCCAAAGTCCACTTTCTGCTCCAGATGCATCCTGTCGTCTGGACCAGGAAGAAACTCAACCGCTATATTATACAGAATCTGAAGCCATGATCACCTACAAGGATCCCACACCCATCGGAAATCTGCCGACATGCTTCAAACTGTTGACTATCATCTCAGTGTTGTTGTTACGTTCGGGCGTGGAGTTCAATCCTGGACCTGGACCAGAAACACGTAACAGTTCTTCTGCTTCAAAACAATTGAAACTCACGTCTTCTGATGCTGGTAACAGTACTGAGTTTGAGAGACTTCTTGCTGAAATTAAGGGGGTTTCTGCTAAAGTTGATACTCACCAGGCAGACCTCTCATCCAAACTGTCTGTTATGTCAGAGTCTATCTCATCACTCACTGACCATATGACTAGTCTCACCTCTAAATGCAATTCTCTGCAAACCCGGATTTAGTTTTAACATATGATTTAGAAAAGAACTGTGTTGTTGAAGTCGCCAAAACGCGGCCCTATTCAACTGATACAACAGATTCTCGTGCACAGCAAGAACACGGGTCTGAGTCAGGTGCACATGGATATCACGACGAGGAGTTTCACTCACCAGGTCACCAGCGTCAACGTGATCGCAGATAGGATGTAGGCCGGGTCAGAGGTGTCGTAACTGGTCATTGTTTGTCATTACTGACATGGAATGTTCATGGTCTTGCAAACAAAATTCTTAATATTAATTTCATAGAATTTTGTACTTCGTTTGACATTGTCGGGTTCACAGAAGTATGGAGTAATTGTGCAAACGATACAATAGAACAACAGTTCACTGATTACACAGTATATCGACATGTAAGAGATTATAATAGTAGAGGTGGAGTTTTATTACTGATTAGAAGTTTTTGTAAAAAAGGAATTAAATATGTTAATACTTCATTTAGTGATAGCATTTACGTTCTTCTTGACTCAAAGGTATTTGGCTTCCCAAGAGATGTTTTACTTGGTATCGTGTATGTACATCCTTATGCATCCTCAGTCAAGTCTGATACTCGTCATGTCAAGGGGATTGATTTCATTGAGTCGTGCCTTGTACAGTTGTTGTCACTATTCGGTGATGTTGATGTAATACTTTCAGGTGATTTGAATGCGAGAACGGGTTTACTGGACGATTTTATTTTACATGACGATGACAATAGTGATTCTTACATTAGTGTTTTGAATGACATGAATTACTAAAGAGATTCCTTTAGATCTCCAAGGAGGTCAAGAGACAAAGACGTTAACACTTATGGTATAGACTTGATCAATCTTTCCTGTTTACTAGGAATACATATGTTAAATGGTCGTTTCTCTGGCGATGCTGACGGTAGTTTCACTTGTCATACACAGAACGGTGGAAGTCTGGTTGATTACATATTGTGTTCCAGTCAAATCTTTGAAATAATTGATAACTTTAAAGTGGTTACCCGCACAGAGTCAGATCACTTTCCCTTAGTATGTTACTTCAATAGATCAGAAAATCGTGTTAGTGAAGATGACGGGGTTGTTTACCAAATTGATAGATATAAGTGGAAGCCGTCAAACTCTGATATATTTCTTGAATCTCTCAATGCACGTATATCTCTGTTGGAAATGAACGATTTTTCTGCTATATCAAATAAGCACACGGGTGAAGCTGCAAATAAGCTTATAAACATTGTCCAAGAAAGCGGAAAAGACGCAAATATGTTATTAAGAAAACGTGTCACTAAAGAAATAAGTGAGATATGGTACGACCATGAGTGTAAAGACTTAAAGAAAAGAAAGTATTCAGCATTAGATAAATTCCGAGTCACAGGGAACTTCAACTATCCTACCGAATTTAGAATTTATAGAAACAAATACAGAGAAGTTTGCCGTAGGAAGTGTGATTTGTATCACGAGTTTACAACCATACAATTATTACAAGTATGTCAGGATGGTAACTATAAAACATTCTGGTCTGGTGTTAAGTCATTATTAGGTAAACCGGCTACACGGTCTACATCTATCAACAGTTTGCAATGGGTCGCTTACTTTATAAATATTCTGAATATTAAAGATGTTAACATAGACGAAGATTTTATGACCTTTGCCAAACAGTATATGTTGAAAAATGAGTTTATATTGATTGATGATGACTCTAATAATATTCTAAATAAAGAGATAACCATAAATGAAATAACAAATGCATTATCAGCTTTAAAACTTGGTAAAGCATGTGGTCCTGATAGACTACCTCCTGAAATGTGGAAACACGGAGGTCATATTTTACTACCTTATTTGCATGTACTTTTTAATTGTATTTTTAACTCGGGAGACTTTCCTTCTGCTTGGTCACAAAGTATTATCTTCCCACTTCACAAGAAGGGGAACAGAAATGATGTTAATAACTATAGAGGTATTTCTTTGATGGACATATGCGGAAAAATATTCACTTATATTTTAAATGAAAGACTGAAAGCATTTGTTGATGTGTATAAGTTAAATCCAGAATGTCAAGCTGGATTCCGCTCAGGCTATTCAACTGTTGATAATGTTTTTACCTTACAGGCTTTAATTCAAAAAATACTTGTCCAAGTCTAAGGGTCGATTTTATTGTTTATTTGTTGATCTTCATAAAGCATTTGATTGTGTAAATAGAGATCTATTATGGTATGTTCTTTCTCAAAACAATATTCGTGGTAAAATGCTTTCAATAGTGCGTGATATGTACAATAAATCAATTTCAGCTGTAAAACTATCAAATTCTAGCATTTCAGAATATTTCAATTCCTTGAGTGGTGTACGACAAGGATGTATACTCAGTCCATTATTATTTAGTATGTTTGTAAAACAACTTGAAGAGGATCTTACATCGTCTGACGAAAGAGGTATTTTTGTTGGAGCAGAATTTCTAGAGCTCTTTTTTATTATTCTATGCTGATGATTTATGTATATTTTCTGACACAGTTATAGGTTTACAAAGAAAGATTAATATTTTATCCAAATTTTGCACAAAATGGGGCTTAAAGGTTAATTTTACAAAAACAGAGATAATTGTTTTTTCGCAACGGAGGTATAGTGAAGAAGACCGAAAAGTGGATGTTTAACCATGTGAAGTTGAAAACCACATGCTATTACAGCTATCTGGGTATTTTATTTTCCAGCAGACTATCTTGTTCAAAAGCAGTCCAGACTCTCGTTCTGAAAGCTAATAAAGCCCTTTTTCCAATTAAACAGCTTCATCATAAAATGAAAAATCTTTCTCCTACTGTCTTATTTCAAATGTTCGATACACAGAATAAGCCTATCTTATTATACTGCTCAGAAATATGGGGTTTTCAGGAGTGGCTAATTCTAGAAAGATTTCATGTAAAATACTGTAAATATGTTCTTGGTGTTGGTATTACTACAACAAATGCAGCTGTTTTATCTGAATGCGGTCGTCATCATATATGTAGTGATTCTATAATAAGATGTGTTAAGTACTGGTGTAAATTATTAATTATGGAAGAGACTAGATATCCAAAACAAACCTATATTATGTTAAAAAGAATGGACGATATTAACCGCAAGTCATGGGTAACTGAAGTGAGGAAATTAATTTATATTTATGTTTTCAGCTATGCGTGGAGTTTCAAAATATTGTTAACACTGATTTATTTTTAAACAGTTCTCTCAACGAGTTAAAGATTGTAACATCCAGTGTATATTTTTTTCTATGTTAAATGAACATTCTAATTTAGAGTTCTATTCATGTGTCAAAAGTACGTTTAATATGGAATCATACTTGTCAACATTATATAACAAAGATTTAAGAAGATTTTTATCACTTTTAAGATTTGGTGAATTAAATATTATGAAGAATACAGGCAGAAGAAATAATATCCCAAGAGAATTAAGATTTTGTCCATTTTGTAAGAACATTTTAGAAGATGAGGTTCATTTTATGTTTATTTGCCCACAATATAATGATTTAAGAACAGGATATATGTTAAATATTAACTCTAAAGATAGACGCTCTCTCATTCGCCTTCTTCAAAATGAAAATAGCAATTATTTATATATGTATGCAAATTATATTAAGGAAGCGTTTATGCGACGTAGCGCATTATTATTGTGAATATATAGAAATATGTTCGAGTTATTGTGCACATCATACCTTTTGTATTGTAATATATATTGTACATGGGCCTGTGGCCTTTCTACTGAATAAAGTTATATATATCATCCGGGTATCCTTGGTGCTGCAAGTTGGAAATCCACTTGTTTTTAGCATTGTCCTTGTGATACTCCGTGGTGGGTGGGGAGCTCGGATGACGAACCTTGATAAATTAACCATGGCTTACGAAACCCCCCATAAAGAAAACCAAACGTCCACTAGACACTGATCCAGTTGATACTGATCAAAGACTGTCCACGTCCATTGAATACTGGCCACGATTTCTTGTCATTGAAACTGTTGATAAGACTCCATTGAAGTTGAACCCCTTTGCGATATCTAAGGGTATACAGGGCATTGCTGGTGATGTCAAGAATATTAAACGTTTACGCTCCGGTGCTCTGTTGGTTGAGTGTGGGAAAAGGCACCAAGCCACCAACCTCATGAGTACAGAATCGTTTGTCAACGTCCCGGTCACCGTCACGGCTCATAAAACTTTAAACACGAGCAAGGGAATCATCAGAGATCGTGATCGATTGTTTGCAGATATGTCTGAACTTGACATCGTCTCTGAGATGAAAGAACAAGGCGTACTCTATGTCAAACGTTTCACGACCAGGAAAAATGATACTGTTATCAAAACAAATACGTACCTGTTTTCCTTTTCTTCACGAAATGCTCCAAAATCTCTGAAGGCAGGATATTGTAACATCAATGTTGACACGTACATTCCGAACCCTCTAAGGTGCTTCAAATGTCAAAAGTTCGTGACAGTAATGTCAAAAAATGTACCAACTGTGAAGGGGATCATCCATCTTACTCTAAAAACTGTCCTGTTTGGAAACATCAAATGGAGATAAATAGAATCAAATTTACCCAAAACATTAGTTTTGCCGATGCAAAAAAGCTAGTTCAAAGCTCTGAGCATAAGGAGAGTTATGCTTCTATCACCAGAACACCGTCAGAAGCAACCACTAGAATAACAAAGTCAACTGCATGCTGTCAGACAAACCTGACCTGGGTTAAATCCGAATCTCCTGTGATATTCTCACCTGCAATATCGACCCAAACAACAGAATCAGTTCCTAGTACGTCTCAAAGCCAATGTGAAACATCCTCTGATCTTGACGCGTCATCTCAGTCGACATCAAAGTCTACACAGCCCCTTAAAGGCAAAGGCAAGAAGCCAGATTCTTTCAAAAAATTCAGTGGCAGAGCCCCAAAAGGGTCAGAAAATCAAATCAACTTGTATAATAAATATGGCTCCCTTGAGGACGTGGATGTGTCCGAAACTGTCCGTTCTAGGGCGCACAGCTTGTCGCCCAACAAGAAAGTACGGGGAAGATCCCCAATAAATCCCCCCAAAAGATAGTTTATCACAATCATATTATACAGTGGAATTGTAGAGGACTGAGGACTAATTTCAGTGAATTACAACTTTTAGTCCAGGATTTAACTCCATCAGCGTTCTGTCTGCAGGAGACCTATTTAAAACAAACAGATGCTTTTGCCCTGCGTTCTTTCAATGCATATCATTATTTTTCACCTCCGGGTGATAGGGCCACTGGAGGATCTTCAATCCTAGTCAGACAGAACGTTATCCATAGCCCTGTTGCTCTTACTACTAATCTTCAGGCTGTTGCAGTGCGACTAACTTTGCACGTTGCGTTTACATTATGCTCTCTATACATATCTCCGTCTTCAACTTTTCACAAAACTGATCTTCAAGCTCTATATGACCAACTCCCGAAGCCCTGTATTATTATGGGAGATTTAAATGGGCACAACCCACTCTGGGGTAGTGCAAATACTAACGCTAAAGGTAAATTACTGGAGGAGTTTTGTTCCGATAATGATTTATGTCTTTATAATGATGGTTCCAACACATATTTACACCCTGGTACAGGAACTTATTCTGACCTCGACTTGTCAGTCACAAATTCAGAACTACTAACTGAATTTGAACGGTCAGTTCACGATGACCTATGTGGAAGTGACCATTTCCCTACCATACTAAAACCTGTAACTCCATCTGATGTACCTCCATCATCAAGGTGGAATTTTAAAAAGGCTAACTGGGCCTTATATGAAACACTGTGTGCTACAAAACTGAAACCTGAACTTTTTTAGTGACGTTACGGATGCTATTAAATGTTTTTCCGATCAACTGAGTACCACAGCTGATGAGTGTATACCACAGTCCTCTGCAAATCCACATATCCGAAAACCATGGTTCAACGATGAGTGCAAACAAGCTAGGAAGGCAAGGAAAAAAGCAGAACATTATTTCCGTCGCCATCCTATGGTGCATAATTTAAATAAATTTAAAATGTTAAATGCTAAAGCGCGGCGTACCTTTAAACAGAATAAACGCCAATCTTGGCAAAATTATGTATCCAAAATAAATTCTCGAACGCCCATGTCCAAGGTTTGGAACATGGTCCAGAAAATTAAAGGTAAAGGTACTAAATCTAGCGTCCATCATCTTAAACATGGAGATCAACTACTTACAAATAAATCAGATATTGCGAATAAACTGGGTGAAACTCTCGCCAAACACTCTTCCTCTTCTAATTATGTGCCTAAATTCCAACAATATCAAAAACAAGAAGAACAGAAAACTATTAATTTCAATTCGGATAATGGGGAAGATTATAATGAAACATTTTCTATTCATGAACTCCATACTGCTCTTGAGCAAGCTCACGATACTGCTACAGGTGCAGATAACATACATTATCAGCTCCTGAAACACTTACCAGAGTCATCTTTAGAGACGCTCTTACACATTTTTGATGATATTTGGACGTCAGGGAAATTTCCTTCCTCATGGCGTGAGGCTATAGTTGTACCAATACCTAAGCCTGGACGTGATCATACGGATCCGTCTAATTATCGACCGATTTCACTAACAAGCTGTGTTTGCAAAACCATGGAACGCATGATAAATAATCGACTTGTTTGGTACTTGGAAACAAATAACGTTATAACAGATATACAATGTGGTTTCCGTAAAAACAGAAGTACTGTCGACCACCTAGTGCGTTTGGAATCATTTGTTAAAAATGCACTAATTAATAAACAACACGCTGTGTCTATCTTTTTGATCTCGAAAAAGCATATGACACTACGTGGAAATATGGCATATTAAGAGATTTACATGGCTTCGGATTGCGAGGCCGTTTGCCTCAATTTATAGCTAACTTTTTTAAACGACAGACAATATCAAGTCCGCGTGGGTTCTACCCTGTCTGATCATTACAATCAGGATCAGGGTGTTCCACAAGGCAGTATTTTGTCTGTTACCTTATTTAGTATCAAGATCAACAGTTTATCCAAGGTTTTAAATGATTCAATCGATGGATCACTTTTTGTGGATGATTTTAATATTTCTTGTCGCGGTAAAAATATGCATACTATTGAA